CCCCCCCCCCCCCCCCCACAGCCATACCATAGACCCAAACCCAGACATTGATACAACACCCACCATAGACCCACCAGACACCCCGCCAGATAACCTGTTCTAAGCCTTGAACCCTATGGTAGTGGGGGGGTTAATATTAGGGGAGGAGATTATGCCTGCTCCCATGCCCTGCCAGCGTGGCGTGCCTCGCTTTGTTTCGGGCTTAGGTCGAAGGGTTGTAGTGCTTTAGCAGCAGAAGATTTCATAGTACATTATAGTATACTATAGTAGAACATTGTTTGTTATAGTAGAATGTAGTATAATGTAGTTTTATATAGTATACTCTAGTACAATTTAGTATATAATAGTATAATATAGCATATTGTGGTATATGGTAGTATATTATAGCAGTCAGTGATCAGAAATCCTCTTGCTATCCAGAGCTAGAAGCCAAGCAGAGGTTCAGCTTTCATGGCTCGAGGTTTACAAGGAGCTGCCCGAATCTTGCAAAGCATGCCTGGCCACAGAGACTGTGGCTGTGTGGGTAGTTCCCCAAACTAGGATCCCATTTTGGTACCCCTAAATATTAGGTGTTGTTATATACTCCATACCCAAAAGGGGCCCATAATTTGGAGAACAACCCATGTGGTGAAAGGTGTAGTTGTCGTAGATCCAAGCCAAGTTACCAAACCAGGCGAAACACGTAAAGTAATCGTCAAGCAGTGTACTGAACCGAGTGCTAGCTTCCGATTGCGCCATGAGTGATGGCCAGCAGACGACCATCGGCCTCCCTTTACAGAGAATAATGAAAAGACCTGCTGAACCAGCTTTGGAGGATGAGATGCAAAGGCAAGGCCCCGGCGTCCTGGTGGAACAAGCTGCTTCGACTGGAGCCATGGGCCAAGTCTCTATGCCAACTTTGAGGTTCACAGCCAAACAGCGGCAGAGGGAACCCGACACCCTGTTGAACATGGCACCTCCAAAGAAGTATGGTATCAAGTTTGTCAAAATTCGGCACAAGGCAAGGCAAATCCAAGATAAACAACAGAGGAAGGAACAGCCGTGGATCAACGACTTCCCAGGACCGAAGGACAAAGTCTGGCCCGGGGATGAGTGTTGGATCATTCCAATTTTAGACCATTACGTTCGGGTGGCAACAGACTCTGATTGCCAAAATGAGCTGCAGAAAGGCTTTGATAGTTTGTATATGGTCGATAGTTCTGAAGCCCAAACTGTGACAGTCATTGATAATGATTCAGGTTCAAAGCTTAAGGAGTTTGTGGAAGAGTTCGCGTCAGATGGCAAGGTAGTCCGTGACGATCTTCCAATACGTTGGCACACCTATCCTGCAGATGCTTTTCCCGCAGCGGTATGCAAAAAAGATCAGGCCGCTGCCTTGCTCAAATTGTTGACAAACCACAATTCTGGCGATGGTTTCCGGACGACGGAGAGGGCCAAGGTTGTAACTTAAAGTTGCGGTATATGGACATGCGCCACAATTTTCACGTCAGCCCAGTTGCAGTGGTCCACGGCGGTCACGGGCCACTGGGTGTTTGGGAAATCCCTGAGCGCCACACGACTGTCGTGTTTCCGAATGACCGCCTGGTCTTCTTGGACCCAGCCGACGAATCTCTCAAGATGACCATTGAAGAAAACTGTCATGGACTAATGGATTTGGAGCGGAACCGCGGGCTTGAATTTTGTACAGCTGTTGGTCAGCCGTCCGCCGCAGAGCTGCCATGCAGTCTATTAGACCTCATAATCAGTGGGGAAGCTCCGAACCAACCTCGGCCCGCCCTCCGACGGGGCATGAACAAGGGAAAACATGCTGAAGGGCATGACTAACCATCTTGCCGTGCTGAGCATCGGCTTGTGCAGATGTGGGCTTTCTCGAAAGTCGTGGCCAATCAGTGAGCCAAAATCCTTGTGGCGACCTGTCACACTGCTCAAAGAACAACCCTGCCAAAACAGCTGAGACAAATGAGCTAAATGCATACGAGACTCGTGAGCTCAAACAAGGATCCCAGCATTATACCCTTATAATCCCTATATAACTCCAAATAGTAGTTTCCATTTTCTTTTCCATTATCCCTATATAACCCCAAATAGTAGTTTCCATTTTCTTTTCCATTATCCCTATATAACCCTAGCATCCCAGCAGGTCAGCTCCTCAAGGAGCTCTCCGCCCACAACATCCGCACCGCAACTGCTGCTGGTGTGGTGGCGGCGTTGGCGTGGGCCTCGTGCCGTTGGGGGTGTGGGATCACATAGAGAGTTTCCCGGAGAGCCCAATACCCCTTAATTGAGGAACATACCCTAAATAGTACTAAGGTCCCTAATATGAATTAAGCTATATTTCTTAATGAAGGGGTATTGGGCTCCCTGGGTTACGCAGTATGTAGTGGATGAGTTTTGCTTGGGTTCAAACTGACAGCAGCTTCTGGATGTGTCGGGTCGTATCACTCGCAATCCGTACCTACAGGCAACAAATATTAAGGAAACGGCAGAGTCAGGTAGATCTTCAGGGGCCGCCAGATACGACAGAACCGTGCAACAAATCACAGTTTTCCGGTTTTCCTTCCCTTCTACAGATCCGTTTTAGGGCGGTATGCGCTGTTGGCGGCCCCCTACGACTCGACCCAATGGAAGTCAGCAGACAACTTCAAAAGCCTTGTAACTTTTCCGGTGGTTGATTCGAGAAGAATTTGTGGAAACAAACTTGCTGGTGCTTAGAAGGGAGCACGAGACTTGTTTGCAGGGCTTCGTATGACTGAGGTTTATTAGAGCAGACAGCACTCCAAGGCAAAAAAGACATCGTTTTTCCTGTTGTTCTTCCCGGCAAATACAGGTCTGGGTGCGGATGTGAGCATACTCAAAAGCACAGCTTGAGAAGATGTGGAGGGGAATGGGGCAGATAAAATGTCAGAGTCCCAAGAACCTAAATCTTGAATTGGTCTAGGGTTTCCAGGAAAAATGGGCACCTTTTCTGATTAATAGAAACCTTATCAGAAGTTTTGGTACTCCCATTTTTTGGAAGACTTATGTTAACCTGCTGCAGCAGCGCCGTCAGGTCATGGCCGTTTTAAGCGCCGTTGTGGACCCCTTGAAGGCTGCCGAGATATGAGGTATAGTTCAAACTCCATTACAGTAAGGGGGATAATTAGGGTTTAGACTATAGCTCATATGGAGAGTTGTCAAAATTAAGGTTTCTGCCTGGGCAAAGATTTCTGAGTGGCCATATTAGAAAGGGGACTGCAGAAGGGACACAATTTGACGATGCTTCCAGGGTTCACGGTGTAGGGGTGCTGTTTCAGATGACTGGTTTAGGGTTTAGGGTTTAGGGTTTAGGGCAAACAGGAAAGCCACACAAGCATCTTCCCCAGTCCTTGTGGGTGATGGTGTAGAAGTACAAAATAAGAGTCCCGTAGCGAAACCCTAAACCCTAAACCCTAATTGTTCCTGGGGTTGACTTCACAGGTTCTGCTTATGAAAGACAGGGATGCGGCAGCGCTCAGCCTAGCCTTGGCATCCCTGAACCCTAAACCCTAAACCCTACATGGTAGACCCTATAAACCCTCAATCCTTTGAACCCAACATCCTAGACCCTACGCCTTAATTCGTCAACCCTAAACCCATTCTTGGCGGGGCTGTTTTTCGATTCCTAAAAATGCCAACCTTGCACGTGCTCATGGGTTAAGGCTGGCTGAAAGAACTGATTCTTTTTTCTTCTCACCACCGCTACGGCTACGGCCACGGCTACGGGCTGCAACTAATACTACAACGACGGCGATGATTACCATTATAGTATTCTCATCTTACTGGTTGTTAGTAGGGAAGAAGGGAACATGATCCCTGTGTAATCGCTATATCATATTATACAGTCCCTTATTCCCTCCTAACCCTCAGCAAGTTATTGCCATTATTCGTATTCTTACTACAACCCACCCCCGACAAGACTAGCAGCGGCTTGGGCAGTGATCTCCGATAAAGAGCAGCACTACTTACCGGGGGGGGCTAGAAGGGAATAAGGGAATACATGATAGAGTTCAGGGCTTAAGCTCTAGGGTTAAGGGTTAGTAGGCAGAAAGGGAGTAGATCATATAAGTGTTACATAGGGATTATATTCCTTAACTCCCTACTAACAACCACTAAGACTATAGTGCCCCTGAAGTAGATAGAATATGGGGTATATGGGGATCTTATTAGAATATATCCAAAGCCATATTCTATCTACTTAAGGGCGACTATACAATTATCATTAGGGCGCAAATACCATTAATGTTATAGTATCTGGGCCCTAAAAACCTCATTATTTGGGTCCTTGGACCCTTAGGGTAAGACTACGGTTCCGACTTCTCTTGGAATCTTAGCTCAAAAAAGTACAGTTCCCAGGAGCCGGTGCCACAGGGGACACAAGAAGATGGATAGACCAGGGCAAACATGAGCCATACGAGTCAATGTGAGTTGTGTATTTTCTTTACGGTTTACATAGGGGGCATGGAGGGGTTATGTAGGGTTTATATTGGGGACATTTAGGGGTTATATAGGGGTTGTATAGGGGGTGTTAGTGCAATGTTTCGACCTTAGCAGGTTTGGGGTGTAAAGGGTGCCAAGCAGCGCCGGAAAATCTACGAGCGGCCCGCACGTTTCGATGTCGAAGCGGCCAGGATCGCGTCTTGCGTCGCCGGGTCTACGCCGGCCAGAAGCCGCACCAGACACTCGTCTGCTGTTAACATGATTTCTGGGAATACCACAAAAATTGCACAATTTAGAGGCTGGAATAGCTGTGAAAGTTATTCCCTCATTGTAGCCGTGGTATATATATATACTTCTCTGTATACATATATATATATATATCATTGAAGAATGACATACCCCGCAACCTTATTCTAATCATGTAAGCTGCCACATAAGGTGGGGTGTACCTAACTTCCCCCTTCTATAGCGGCCTCCAAAATAATGTTTAGTTTTTTTTGGTTATTATAGATCTAATAACAACCAGAAATTATGATTTTTAGTGGGGTTCTGAAACCCTAAGCCCTCAACCCTAAACCCCAACTTCCCCCTTTACAGTCTAGTGTAGTGAAAGCTCACAACTGTGATCATCGTTTGCCTCCCCGGGGTGCTTTGTCTTACGGGGCCGCATAATGCGAGAGTAGACTAAACGTTAGGGTTTACGGTTTAGGGATTAGGGTTTAGGGTTTAGGGCTGCAACCCAAGTAGAGTGAATCCAGAAACCAACTAATTCAACACGGTCCCGGCTCTCGGTATGGTTGAGCCAACTTTTGTCAAAGCAAGTGCAGTTCTTGTTGAGTGCCACAGCATCCCCCAACTGACTGTGACACATGCTGCGGGTGCGCCTCAGAACCAGTAAGAGATTACTGATTACGCATTAGAACTGCAAGTGGAGGTATCGCATGGCTCTCGTCGCTCTCACAACTCACAGTCGCGGGGGATATCCCATAGTTTGTTTGCTACCGAGGTAGGGAGGACTCTAGTCAAGCAGGCCATATGTTGTAGCCTCTTATGGTTATCAGTATAGATATAGTCCCCCTTAAGTAGATAGAATATGGCTTTGGGTATATTTTAATAAGATGATACCCCTCTACCCCATATTCTATCTACTTAAGGGGGACTATAACGCTAGTGCCTTATCCTGCACCTACCTGGTCTCCTAGTACTTAAGCAGCTTGGAGTTCGGTTTCAGGATGCGCTGCTTCCTTGCAGTCAGCCGGTACCTCAGGATGGTCTAGGGGCTTAGAGTTGGGTATCCGGAGGTGTATAGTCCCTTGAGTAGATAGAAAAGGGCTTCGGGTATATTACCATAAGATCCCCATATACCCCATATTCTATCTACTAAAGGGGGACTCTAGAGATGCAGGATGTACGGGGTTCTGGGAATTCTCGCGTTTTAGGACGGTATTCAGGGCTGAAGGCAACATGTCCGTGAAGCCCTTACACAACAGAAGCAGGTCAACTTTTCAATGCACCCGGCATTCGTCGAGCCATGACATTCCTGCCCTGCCCTAAACCCCAAACCTCGTATGTTTGCCTTGCGAGTTGGGAGCGGAGGTTTGAACTTACTTAGCCAGTGGAAGAACTTTCAACTTTTTGGGCTTCCTTTTTGGGTCTCTATATAAAAGTATAAACTTTTTTTTGGCCCTGGTTATTGGGGAAGAGAGTTTGTGCACCAGGTGTAGGCCGGTGTAGGTGTGGACTTCAGATTTGGGCTTGAAGGGCTCCTGCAAGCGCGCAATCTCATGAGCTATAGTGTAACCTCCCAGTATCCCCCTGAATAACCCCTATAAAGCTACCCTATACCATCCCCTTTATAACCCCCCCCTTTTACGGAGTTTAGATTATTTCTCACATGATAGTTGTATACTCGTGGCTAATTAGGTTTCACTTGTAAGTCCATGTTGGTATGGGCCTCGTGTGGTCTTCGTGGCTGTTGGAAAGTCATGAAGCAGG